ACGTGACAATAGAAAGAAACAAACGATTTAACATGTTATTATGTCAAAACGACATTTTCTCACATAATATTTAAATGATTATCGATCATCATAGAGTTTCATTTGAGAATATTTTTTGTATATTTCAGTGAAAAAATTATCAGCTTCTGTTCAAGTGTCAACTAAACAGTCAACATTTAATGAATTTAATAGATTGGTCACCAATGCAAATACCAAATTAACAATATGGGTATTTTTATCCTTTTTTTTAGGCTATTAGATGCTTTTAATTAATGATTTCATGGGTATTTTTATTTATTTTTTAGTCCATATCAATAAAGATTGACACATAATAAGTATAGTCAGTATTCAACACTGAAAACTAACGACATCATGGTAAGTTAATAATTTGATTACTTTTACATCAATTTTAATAATGTTATAGCTATTGTTATCCTTTTTTCATATTAGACTACTGGATGTTTATGGCCAACTACTTGGTTGGTATTTTTACACCTTAACCTAATATAAAAATAAAATAAAATAACATCAAGGCTTTAAGAGCATGTGTAATATTATCTTGTTAAAGATAAGCAAATTCTAAGACAAATAAATATCTCTAAGCTAATGAATCGGCTGTACTATACATGCATGAAAGTTTACATATAAAATAAAAATAAAAATTTCATTTAGTGTTTCAAAGTTTCTGTAATGTATTAACTTAAAGGCTAAAAATATATAATCCCTATATTTTATTTAAAAAAAATTAAAAAGTCAGGGAGTCTAAGGGCTTGTTTGGAAACCTGTTTTGAAAATAATTTTCTGTTCTCCAGAATAATAGAATAAAAAAAATCTGTTTGATAATGTGTTTTTAAAAAATATTTTAATGAACAAAAAAATAAAATATTATTCTGGAGAACAAAAAAATAAAAATAACTTCAGGTGTTTTGAGATTAATGTTCTGGAGAATAAGGTAGAATAAAAAAAATATCTATTTTTATTATTTTTTATTCTCAGAATATGTTCTACAAAATATCAATTCTTAAAATAATAAAATAAAAATAATTTCAAACAAAACTTCTCTCATTTCCTTTGTCTCTGCACATGATAGGGGCAAATGAATAAAAATAAATATGATATTTATTAAAAAAATTTATAAATAAAATTAAAATAAATATTTATTTTTGCTACATAGATAGGGTCACAAGGATAGCATGTATCTTTTGTTCTTAGTAAATGCGCTATACACCATATTTTATAAACAAATCCTTAACTTCCACTAAAAAAAGTGATTTCTATCGGCAATAGGACGATATAATACGCTATTCTTCAAAAAGAAAAGCAAAAAGATTCTTTCAAGTCTCAAGGAAAACCGCATTAAAGCGATGAATGCGGTGACGCAGGAGCCGGGGCAGTGCCAAGTGACGTATAATCTTTGAGTCTTATTTATAAATTATATTTTACAAAATTTATTTAATTTTATTTATAAATTATAATGTAACTTTTTAAGTAATATTTAAAAAATTTAAAATTATTTTTTATAAAAAAAAATAATATTATATTATTTTATAAATTTGTTATATAAAAACTTATTTAAAATTCTACGCATTTTTATTTTTTATTTTTTTTTGTATTAATATTGGTAAAAATGAATTTTAAAGAAGACGAGAGAAGCATAGAGAACGGTGAACCACGCGCCACGCTTACTCATTAATGGGATGCTAACGCGCCGCCATAATTGTTGGTCTTGTTCCGACACGTTTCCAGCTGCGCACTAGTCGCTGCTTCTTGGAACCGTACTGATGCCAGCGTGGCCCACCAACATCACCACTCAAACGTGTATACTCCACAAATTCCCTTCCAAATATTACATGCGGCAACTGGGACCCACCCAAGCGGCCGCCGCGTTTCTTAGTTTCTTTCACCTTCACTCCCACTTTTGCATTTGCATGATTTCCACGTAATTTCAACAACAATTATTCTGGGCCCGACTCCAACCATCCATACTGTTCCCATGTGTGTGGCGTTCTGTCTTCTACTGTCACTATGAGACTATGACTCTCTTTGCTTCTTTATTTTTTATATATTTATTATTTATTGTTTTAATTATTAAAAAAGATAAAATATTTTTAATTAAATCTCATCTCAATAAAATAATTATTTAATTTTAAATTAATTTTATTTTTTATATGTACTTTTATTAAATACTTACAATAAATATAAAATTATTATATTATTAATAGAGTATGTTTATAAAAAAATATAATGATTATAGTTTAAAAAATTTAAAATACTTTATATTTTTTAAAAGGAAGAGTATTGACTAGCATTCATATATTTAGGTTACTCATTCCCATTCTCTTGTGAGGTGGAAATATTTTCTTATCCTAATTTATAAAAGAAATGTTTTATTTCAAGTTTTTTTATCTCGTAGGAGAAAATACTGTATTAATATATATATATATATATATATATATATATAACACATGCAATAGGAAAAAAATTAAAAATTATTAAATTTTTAGCGAAGTTAGCGATTTTTAAGTTTTTGTCGATTATAAAAAAATAAATTAAAAATAATTTATAAATATGAACTTTTGATTGTTTCAATCTTTTGTGTTAGCTTCTGTTTATGCAATTATTATTTTTGTTCTTTACATTCAGAACTATCTCAAATAATTTTTGCAGATTAAAATGTCACCACAATAAAAAATGATAATGAATTAATTGAAATTGATGGATAGGGAAATTCTACAAAACATATGTACTTCCTCCATCTCGTACAAGATGATTTGATATTTTAAAATATAAAATGCTTTAAAAAATAAAATATTAGTAATGATAATTATTTTAATATTATCATTCAATCCTTAAATAAATTTATTTTTTACATGTATTGATGAAGGATGATTTTAAATTTTTTTTAAAAAATTTAAAATTTTTCTTAATAAAATTCATTTGTATGCACTACTCCGATCACTTAATGAGGTATTAATTATATCTTTTAACATTATCTCTATTTAAATTTATTTATAATAAGAAAAAATTTAGTATAAGGTTCAGATTCTTTTAATTTAAATATGAGTAAAATAAAAAAATTATTTTATATTTTGGATAAAAAATTTTAGAAAAATATTTTTGTTATTTTTAATACAATTTAAGAAGAGGTAGGATTGTAATTTTTATTTTTAACATACATAAAGATACTCTCATTTTTTTAGTTGAGTGATATTATTTTCATTTAAGCTATTATGAATAAGAATCATATAAATAAAAATTTATTCTTTAATAGAAGAGAATTATGATATCTTGCAAGTTGTTTTTAATAGAATCAATGTAAATCACCAATAGCAAAAAAGTATATCTTATTCTAAGATAGGACATATTTTTTATTTGAATAAACATTGAAAACTTCATTTAAAGGATCAAATAACAACTACAAATAAATAAGGGTTTGAAGAAAATAAACAAAATAAGTAACGAAATTTATATAATTTTTATCAATGGTAGCTTTTAGATATTTTTCTTTCTATTTATTTAATATAAAAGGTTGTTCTAATGATAAAAAATAATAAAATTATAATTTTTTCTTGAATTGTATCACTCATAAATAATGAGAACAATATTGCTCGATTAAAAAAAATAGAGAATTGTATGTGTTAAAAACAAAAATTATAATTTTATCCCTCCTTAAATTGTATTAAAAAATAATAAAAATATTTTTCATATCATGTGACATGTGTATTATATTAATATGATATGATAATAATTGTATTAATAAAATAATAATTAATTAATGATAGAGGATTTTGAAAAATAAAATGAAAAATTAGAGAGATTAATTTTAAACATTTAAAAAAATGAAGGGATGAAATGCAACTATTTTACATTTTTTTAAATTTTTATTTTAGCCTTAATAAATACTCTCTCCATTAAAGGAGTTGAATGTTAAAAAATATAAGATATTTTTAATTTTTTGAGGTATAGTCATTATTTTTTTTAAAAAAATATTTTTATTAATAGTAATTTTTATATTTATTATAGAGTATTTAATAAGAATAATTATAAAAAATAAAATTAATTTAAAATTAAATAATTATTTTATTAAAAAGTAAAATTTAATTAAAAATATTTTATATTTTAAAATAGAAGGAGCATACGCTTTTATTATCTCAGCGGTCACGAACTCCATTGTTTCGTCTCAGCTAAGTTAGGCAGTCGGCGGAGAGGACTGAGAATTTTGTGAAATAAATAAATAGTAAATTGGTGGGGGGGAGAAGAAGAATAATAATGGGAAGCAAGGCGCTGAAACATCACGTGAAGACAACATCAACGCGGACACAAACACAGTCAACACGGAATGCTCGGGTGGGGCCACCTTCAGACACGCTTGCTTCTGATTCGATCTCCCTGGCATGTACGTACCGTTTTCGCCGTCCCTGCCGCCTCGCCTCCAAATCTCCTCCACGCACCAATAACTAATCAACCTCCTAATTATGATCTTAATTACTCATCATTTAAACTAATCAATTTTATCTGCACAACACTAAATTAAATTCTCCTTCATCATTCAACAGTGATTGGACCTACCGTCGTTTCAGTGCCTTTCTGCATCATTTTGGCCGTGAGATCCGATGAGCGTCTCAGATCCTCCCCGATAAACGACAACACTAACGAGAATCACGAGGAAATTATTCAATCTGAATAAAATGACACGCACCGTTTTGTTAAAATATTAGGATAACAGACAACACAATTTTTTTCCCTCCTTTTATGGTCATTGTGCCGTCGGCATCATAGAAACGCCGTTGTGATGGTCCATCAACGAAATGAAAACCGATCGTACGACAAAAATCTGCCCAACATACGTCTGCCAGATCTAAACAATTTAAATCCAAAAATTGTTCCTTGTATATTTGGCTCTGTTTGGTTAATGGGAAAATGCAGGAAAGACTTAATCAACAAGGAAAAAAAAATAATGATCAAGGAATTAATGTTTGAAGCTTAGATGAAGGAAAATCTGGAAAAAGATGGATCAATTCCCATTATACATATAAAGATGAACAGTAATGGTAGAAACAACCGTGAGAAACTCTTCACAAGTTCTCACAAGTTGCAAAAAAGGGATTCTGTTATCATCTATTTACACAACGTCTGGATTACCGTCATCAAATCCTAGCATGTCAGCTACTTTCTTTTCATGTTGCCTACATCCTCAAAAGACCTTTTTTTTGTTTCTTTCCTTTTTCTCAAAATTACTAGGAAAAAAAATTAAGAAGTAATATATTGAAAAATCGTCGGATCTTCAAAACGCCGCCAGATCAGGCAACCTCCGCCGGAGGAGGAACGTTAAGGTCGAGATCTAGGACTGTTCGTGGCGAAGCGCGCTCATAATCAACGACGGAAGACGAATCGGAGTCACTGTGGGCACCGCCATCGCAGACGGAGCGGGGGAACTCGGCCACTGGACAATCGAACCCGCAAATCTCCCGTCGGCCAGTAGCTGCCACCATGTTGTCCGCCCGAGCAAACGCGTCAAAAAACATGACGGGACGAGCCACTGGAATGATCGGGAACCCCAACGCGCCGCCGGAAGTAAGTGTCCCGAGGGAAAGTTCTAGCGGCGGAGGAGCGACTGGCGGTGGCGAGGAAGACTCAAGCGTGCTGCTCTGGCTAGGGCTATGGCTGAAGTTGTTCGGAAGCTCAGACGGAGCCGGAAAATTAGTCTTGGCCTTGGCGCCACGGAACTCCCTTGCTGCCGCGTCGTAAGCACGGGCCGCCTCCTCAGCCGTATCAAAAGTGCCCAACCAAACGCGGGTTTTCTTGCCGGGATCACGAATCTCAGCGGCGTAGCGCCCCCATGGCCTCTTTCGCACGCCTCTGTACCGGATCTCTTTGGCAGTGTGGGTCGGGTTGGGGTCAGCAAGTCTTTCTCTAGGAGCCATTTTCTGGGTTTCGGACTGAGGGTTTGAGAAAAATAACACTTTCAGAGAGAGAGAGAGAAGGTTTCAGACGAAGAAGGAGACGCAATGTCTGAGGAAAAGCGAACGGTGGGTATGATGGTTTTATAGCGAAGATTGAAGACACAGAAGGATAGAGTGTGCGTGCGAGAAAAAAAGCTACGCTCCTTTTGGGCGCTTGATGCTCCCAGCAGAAGCACTTGCGGTGGATACTGCTCGCCAATCATTCCACGCCACGTATGTACGGCCTTTACTTTCACTCTGTTTGATCCGACTTTTAATTGTAACCAACCTGTTTCCCAAAAAAATTATCTATACGGAAATACTAGTATTTTAAAATAATCTTCATGCTTGCCTATATATTTACTCATAATTATGCTCCTTTAATTATAATAGGCAAAAATTTCCTAATCAACATAAAAAAATAGATATTCATATTGTATAAATGTGTTTCTTGTATTGGCCAAGCAAGTCTTTTAACACGTCATCACCATAATTTTTATTCGCGCTCATGGTGATGCTAAAAATGAGTTCATACTTCATACTGTGATCACAAAACAAGGCATACATTTTTTTTGCAGCATCATCTTGTCAATAGCTTAAATTCTATGTATAGTATTAAACTAAAATCTCTTCTAAAGCTAACGAGAAGTCATCAATTTTGGATATATTTGGAACTATTTGTCTTTTTATATAAAAAAAATGAAAAGTGATCAAAGTCATACTTCTTCTATTTAAAAATATAAAATATTTTTTAAAAAGTTAGATATTAAAAAATATGAAGCATTTTTAATCTTTCGAGGTGTAATCATTACCTTTTTTTAAAATATCCCTATTGATAATGATTTTATATTTATTATAGGGTAGTCAATAAGGATAAATATAAAAAGATGAGGTTAATTTAAAAATAAATAAAAATTTTATTGAGAGTAAAATTTGATTAAAAATATTTTATATTTTTAAACTACAGTTAATCCAAGTCTGATTTTAAAACCTTATTATATTCCCTCTTCATAATATAGGTTATTTTGAAGGAAAAATTGTTTCATATTATAAATTTTTTTAAAAAAATATAAAGTAAAATTTATAAAAAAAATCCACTTGATCCCTATTTACTTTTTCGTTGAGTGGCAAATTTACAGAAAATAAATTAGAGGTAAATTTAGTATCGTATAAAAGACACACACAAAAAAAATGTCAGAAGAGGAGGGAATCACCGAACACATTGGAACGTGATATGATGTTAGAGAGGATAAATAGGAAGGTGACACGTGTTCGGAAACGCGTGGTCCCTCATGAATGCGTGTGGGTTCACGTACACACGTGCCATGCACTTATCTCTCTCTCTCATTATCCAATGCAATCTCAAAGAGGGAGAAGAAATATTCCGCTGAGTCAGTCAACGAGGGATTTGACTGCTTTTGCTTCAGCCCACACACAGAGATATGAAAGCGCGCGCGCCGCCCCAGCCAGGGATGCGGGACCCACAGAGAGTAATTGCTAGGAAGGGGGAATCCACGCTGCAGCGCTGTCGCATCAACACGTGGCCGAAGAAGGCGGCGTCATCCTTAACGGCGGTTAAGACGTGTCGGCAACTGGCGACATGTTGGTCGAAACGGAACATGGGAGTTAGTGTGACGGCAGTTAAGGTGGGCCGCGTGGGCACCATGCGGCCGTGGGATACGGATCATTTTGATTTGAGGTTGCGTGTGAGGTCGGCATGAGTGAACCAGAAAGAAAAAAGAAAGAAAAGAAAAAGTGTGGTTCTTTGCTTATTTAACTAATTTTAGCTTTGAATTTAAATTAATTGAGAAAAGGGGCACTCCCTTGGTTTTGCCTTTCTGAATTTGTCCGCATAGATCGGACGGGTGAGAGGTGGACACGCGTCGAGGGGGTGGATACCTGTAAGGAGACATGAGATAGCCGCCCCTCGCCGTCCTTCCGGATATTATATTCTCTCCTTCTGTTATGTGGAGGACTTATGCTGGCATCCACCATCCATGTGAATACCCGTAATAAAAGCCTGCCAAGTCATTTTTCATGCTTTATACATATAAATAAATAAATAAATAAAAATACTCACAAAATTACCTAATACCTAAAATGAAAAAACATAATATAATTATTCATAACGTTATATAAATGTGTGTAAAAATGATTAAACCATTATATTTTCCTAATGCTATTAGTTTTCGATGTTAAATGCTAATTATGCATGTTATGAGTCAGTTTTTGCTGGCGTTAACTAAAAAAAATAAAAATACTCACTAAATCATTAGCCAAAAACAATTAATAGCTTAAAGTGAGAAACAAAAAGAGTAAAAATATTTATAACGTTATCAAAGTTAATGCAAAAGTAATTAATTTATCAAATCCCTTAAATATTGACCATTTAACTGACACTTGAATAAAAATAGATTATTTTTTTACTGATGTAGATAAAAATTATTCACAAGTAAATTTCTATAAAGGTTGATCGATTATCGTACAAGTATTCATAATGTTATTTTAATAGGTGCAATAGTAATCAATTCATTAAAATTCACGTCACATGGTTTCTTTTCACTGTCACGTATCCTACCCCCTCTCCTCTCCCTCTCCACTCATTTATATTGTCCTCAAAACTTGAAATTTAACATAGTAAAATAAATTGTACACAATCAAAAATCAAGACTAAACATATCTCTCATGCCACCCTACATTAAGAACATTGTCATAGCTTTAAGTAATTTCATTCATTATATGTTCAAAAATTTTAAATAATTTTTGTCACTGTTGTAAAGAAGCGAGCGATTTAATTTGATATTCGATTAAAATGATATTTTCCAATATAATATTCATACAATGACTAGTTAACCTTCATAGAATTTTACTTGAAATTTTTTTTTATCCATGTTAGCAAAAAAATAGTTAACTTCAACTTAAGTGTCGGGTAAACTGTCAATATTTAAGAAATTTAATAAATTAATCACCTTTGCATCAATTTTGATAACATTATAAGTATTTATGCCCCCTTTCTCACTTTAAGTTACTGAGTGCTCTTAGTTGACCACTTTATAGGTATTTTTGCCCCTTTATCCTAAAAAAATTATGTTTTTCTTTTGTATTATATAGTGGTAAAAATAATAATCAAGGACTATTGACTAGAATTTACATCAGTTAATGATTAGTTATTTTCAAAACTCAAATGGCTATTTATTAATAAACAAGTCCAAATGAATTATAATTAAATTACAATGAGTTGTTAAAATCCGAATTGATACTTGTTGATAAAAAACTAATCTAAATTAACATGTATCCATTCGAGTTTTAACAATAATTAGTTCTAAAATGATATAAATTTTGGTCAGTAATCTTTTATTGCTATTTTCCCTACATAGTATTTCCATCTCAAATTACAATATAATTTTATAAAGCATTATATATTTTGAAATATAAGATAGTTTGATAAAAACAATTTTTTTATTAATGATACTTCTCTAACACCCTCCTAATATCAAATTATAAGATACTTTTAAAAGAAATTTAACTCCCCAAAATATAAGATACTTTAATAAAAATAATATTTTATTAATAATTTTTTTAATATTGCCTTTCCCACTATATTCTCTTTGTTTAATATTCTTTTATAAATGAATTTTTAACTAGAGCTATTTTTTGAAATTTTATTTTAATTTGTTATGAAAAAAAGTTATAAATGTATCTAAATTAGCTTTATTGATATATGTAATTTTGTCTAAAAATGGTTTATAATATGAGATGAAGGTAGTATTAGTGCATCACCCTTTAAGTGGATAGAGAATTAAAATTATTCTAGTGTAATAATTAAATTTGTAGAATTAAAATTATATTAAATGATAGGCATTTTTAAAAGCTTACTTCCTTCGTTTAAAACTGTAAGATATTTTTTAAGGAGTTGAATATTTAAAAATATAATACATTTTTAGTCTTTTAAGGTGTAATCATTGCTTTTTTTTTTAAAGGTGTTCCTATTGATAATAACTTTATATTTATTATAAGGTATTTAATAAGGATAAATATAAAAGATAGGGTTAGTTTAAAAGTAAATAACTACTTTATTGAAAGTAAAATTTAGTTAAAAATGTCTTATATTTTTAAACAGAAGGAGTATATTTTTATTGTGAAAAACTTGTAAAATGGTGTATTGAATTTTATTAGCACGCATAATCTTATATCAAATTATTTTATAATTTAAGACGAATGTAGCAAAATCAAGATAAATTAGTTAAAATTATAAAATTTCTTTACAATTAAAAAATATTTTATTTTTGAATTTTAAAAAATAGTCACAGTAAAATGATAGTTAGGGTGAATTTTCTCAAAAATTGAAATATTTTACTTCATTTTAAAATTCATGTGAGATTGTTTTTTGAACTGTGCATTAAATATTGCAAAAAGAACAAGAGATATTGACTTACCTAGAGGATTTATAAATTTTTTTAGAATATGAATAGCAAAGAAAACTGAAGGGAACACACACACATATAAATAAAAATTCAAACATGCTATATCTTAAAATTTATTAGCTTCCTAACAAAAAATTATGGATTGGTAATTTTTTTATCTTAATTATTAATTTAGTCCTTTAAATTTATCCTATTTATTAATTTGGTCCTTATTATTTAAAAAAGAGAAAATGATATTAAAATTTGTCAATATAGATAAAAAAAAGGCAAACATAACTTCCTGTATTTTACTCGCATTTTGTTTTTAATTTTTATATTTTTTTCTTTGTGTTTCATGTCCTCACACTTTGGTTTTTATTGTTTTGAGTCCTTCCAAGGTACCTATGCTTTGCTCATAAAGGGATTAAAAATAATGAAAAATAAAAGTTTAGGGATTTAAAATACTGAAAAAATATAAGAATTAAAAGAAAAATATGAATAAAATATAGGGACCAACAGTTATATTTATCCATAAAAGTATATTGATAGCAGTTGTGCAAATCAATGAAAAAAGTATAATTATTTAAGTAGTAAAAGAATAAAAAAAGAATAAAAGAACAAAACATAACATACAGAATTATATTGACACAAATTAAATTGATTTGAGAACTAACTTATTCTCATTTAACTACATAAACATGTTAAGTTATTAATATACTTTATATATTATATTAATTTGAGAGTTAATTTATATTTTAAAACTTAATGGACTAACATAATAATTTTTTAAAAAATAATAACAGAGATCAAATAGTAAAAATTAAATTTGAGATATTTGATCAATAATTAAGGTAGAACTGAGGGATTGAAAGTTTTGTTATCACAGAAATTTAATAAATTTATAACTTTACCCCTAATTCAGGAGTTTATCACCACCTACTCAAATTAATCCAAACCTCCACTTTGTAGAATTGTTATTATTAGCAGAAGCCCCATAAATGTCTCAAGATTTTTTTTGACATATTCATTTAATGTGATTATATATTTTGATATTTGAATTTGAGACTCTAAATAAGTTGATTTAACTCACTCAATTAGTTGAAGTAAGCACCTGCCGATTCAATAAGCTTACTTTTACTAATAATACACTCACTCAACTTACGTATCCATATTTAATAATGGCAAAGTTAAGAATTTATTCAATTTTTGGACAAAGTTTATATATTTTAAGATTTTTCTTAGTTCATATAAAATATGTTAAAAATAACTTATACTCCCTCTAGTTCTATTTATAAAGCAAAGAGAAAATTTTTTAATCTTATTTATAAGTCACGTCATTAAATATGCATTATAAATTTTTTTACCCTCCATTGAATGTTGAATAGAGAAAATATGTTATTGAATGGTGTATATTTAATAAGGGCAAACTCAAGAGCTTATTAAATTTTAAGACAAAGTAAATGAGTTTTAAAATTTTTTTATACTAATAAAACATGTTGAAAGTGATTTATAAATAAAATCACAATAATAATGTGCAAGTTGCCTCTTTTTAACAAAAAAAATATTTTAAAATTTTAATCCCCATGATTTTTATAAAGATTAAAATTTTAAGTAATTTGAATATTAGTTTCTAAATTTCAACATAATTTTAATTTTTATAATTATATTTTTTACAATATGAGAACCAATATTTTAAATGGTTAGAATTATATAAATTATATTATATTGAGTCATAATTTAAAAAACTAAATTACAATCAAGTCAAAACTATAAGAAGTGAATTACAATGAGTCAAAATTTAAAAATTAAATTATAACTAAATTAAAGTTATAAAAATTAAATAATTAATTTTAATTTTTTTAAAATAACATTGATCGGCACAAAAAATATTTATTTGGAACTAAGATGTTAGAATTATATGATTGAAAAGATATTTATAAAATAAAGGTGCAAAATTTAAATATTATATAAAATCAGAAGACCAAGGGTACACTCTAATATTTTAACATGTTTAAAAATGTGTTAAATAGTCCACGTTTTAAGGTAATTTTATATACTTGATATATTTATTTTTAATCAAATTGAATTATCTGAATTTTTTACAAAAATTATTCTATAACAAACTATTATTATTAATATCATTGGTGTTTTAAAATCCACATGTTCTGATTTGGATGGACAAGTCTTCTCTCTGTTGCTTTTTTTTTTTTTTTTAAATTGAATTCTTTTGGGAATCTGAATCATTCAATTCTATTTATCGAATTTCTCCTCTCTTTTCATAGACAAAATCGCTCCCATAGAGCGTACATGAATTTATTGCGACCACCTATCTCAACTTGGTCCTGAGATGACTATCATCAACGACGACAGCAACAAATTGCTTTGATGTCCGACTTTTTTTGTGATTACAAGAAAATGTTTAACAAAGAAATGATAAACCAATTGACTACCAAAATTTGCGGACATTAAAGTGGTCACAAAAAGTCACTTTCTTGTTAGAGAAAAATCTCATCTCTTCAATAAATTATACTTGATGCAAGTCTTAAAATTGAAATAATATTTCAAGTAAGAGTTCCACGATTTCTATTTTCAATAACTCGCCTTTGGATTTTTTCGTGGTCTGCTAAATACTTTCCTTTCTTTTCCCCCCCCTAAGAATCAGTCTGCTTAATACTTTAACAACTTGGCAGCCAAAAAGAAAAAAGAAATAAAACTTAACCAACAAGTTGATTTGCTTAAAAAGAAACAAAACAATTTTGACACTTCATAATTCAAGAGATATTGAATTCTACACTGGCTAGAATAAAAAGAAGTACAAAAAGAACAAAAATATTAAAATAGGAATGCAAGAAAATAAATCCCTATTTCATAGGGAATGAAAAAAAGAAAAGAACGCTAATGAAAAAGAAACAATAACATAATAGCAAAAGTCCTTTTTTCCGTGCCCCGGTCAGAGAAGGCATTTAAACATGAAAGGGCCAGATACGTGGAAGCTTCCAGAGAATGGTATCTTCAAAGAGAATAAGAGGAAGGCCTGGAATGGCTTTTAGTTTTTTTTTTTTTTAATACAAGGACACAAAAAAATTATCTAAAAGTAAAATAAAATCAGATCATGTTAGATTTTATAAGAGATTTGTATTCTGAAGATAGATGATTGTAAATAATAAAATCAAGATTATTCCAAAATGCAAGGTGAGCGAGTATGTCCGCATATCTGTTTACTTCTCTAAACGTGTACTCCAAGATAATAATCTAATCTTTCATAACTAGAGATCTAACTTTATTGATAATTTCAGAGAGAGGATGGTTATCAGGAAAATTATGTCGGATAAGCGAGAGTGCTTCCACAGAATCAAAGCAAACGTTGATTTTGTTAAAATGGGCATTTCAACAAAGTTGTTATCCTTCTAAAATGCTTAATAATTCTGCTGTTGTGCTTGAATGAGAACTGTGGTATTTGAAAAATTTCTTGATTCAATTTCATTTATCGTCTCGTATGATTCCACTATAAATAGCAGCTTTGATGGAGTTGACGGCCCTATCAATGTCAAGACGAATCTAGCCAATTTTTGAGAGTGTCCAACGTGCCTCTAGCCTTTTGCAATCACGATTTAGGAGGTTAACTTTAAATTAAAGCCTCATGTCATTGGTCTAGAGATGGCTTTTTGGAGGAGCGAACACCTAAAGATTTAGACAATGCACGGCAAAATTTTTTTATAATATAAAAATTGATCAAGAATTGAACTTTGAATTCACTTGTATTTATCAAACAATTCTAGCATTTCATATTTCTTTTTTAGTAACACTAGCATTTCACATTTAATTCTAGCACCTCAAACACATCTTTCTATTTTAATATATTTGTTAAGGAGTGGAACTGCAGAAGTAATAAGCCTAAAAGCGAAGAGAACAAATAAATGATAAAAAAATTAATCTTTTAATTTTTTAATTTTTATTCACTTATAACTCAATCTCTCAATTATGACTCGCTGTAATTTAGTCTCTCAACTACCAATTGCCTATAACTCAATCCCTCAACTTTTGAATCATTTATAATTTAGTCCCTCAATTCTTTTAATTCTCTTTTTTCATGTTAACTTAGATCTCACATCAAAGAGCAAGAGAAAAGTATTTTAAAGTAATATATGAGCATTTTTTTATCCCTCTTATTTGATAAGGAAATTTTTTTAAAAAAATTAAACAATAATAACCTAATTATAAGTGAATCAAAAGTTGAGGAACTGAATCACAAAGTTGAGTGACATCAACTGAGTTATAAATGAGTTAAAAGTTGAAAAAATAAAAGATAAATTTTCCCATTAAAAAAATCACATCCTAACTCAATCTTAAATATTATTATAAATATTATGTTAATGATGTTCATAACTCATAACCCTTAAGATTCTTTTATTCTTAATGTCTTCATGAATGACATGAAAGAAGTTTCTTAATTTTAATAGTTTATAACTTTCAAAGTTTACATAATGCACTATTATATGCCTTATTATATCTTTCAAAAGTTACATAATGCACCATAACTCATAGGACTTGAATAGTTGGAGGTTATAAATAAAGATCACGTCCAAAACATATGTATATCAAAGAATAAGAAATTTCTTATATTGTCTTATCTCTCTCTACTCTTCACATTAACCATATTTTACAACAAATATCAAGTTTATAGATAATTTTACTTTATTATATATTTAAGACCAATCTTTAATATGGAACTACTATTTAAATCCACTCACTTAAATATCCTAAAACATATTAATTTTAAAAAAATGCACAAAAGGTTAGAATTCAGATGGGATAAATAATGGAAGGAACGCAAGAGACAAGGGTTAGAATAGGAATTAGATAGAGAAGTTATCATCAAGGATTACAAACCCACATTTGAGTATTTGGGCCACCAAACGCGATTCTAATTGGCCCCAGCATTCAGCTCATCATCCTATGGGATAATCTTGACCCCTCATTTCTCCTCAATAATCTCAACTGTTGATTTTGATTTTAATTTTTTTAAAATATTTTTACATTATATTTATCAAAATAAAAATATGTAAAAATTATAATATTGAATTCGGACTTTTTTTTAAGCTTATTGGAGGATGAACATCATGCTATTCATCACCCTGAACTTAGACGGCCCAAATTTAAACTTTTTATTTTTATTTTATATTTATTAAAATAAAAATATGTTAAAAAAAATATAAAAATCCTTAATAAATCTGTTCATCGCAAATTTGGATAATAAAAATTTAGTCCGAACGACTCAATTTAATATTAACTTTTCTTAAAATTTTTTAAAAATATAGATATACCCAAAACACTATAGATACAATATAAAAAAATTAATTTACCATTAAATTTTTTTATAATTTTTACAAATTAATCATTTAAATAAATTTTAGACAATCCAAATTTAATATTCATTTTTTTATAATTTTATATATTTTGGTTTCAATATAATATAAAAAATATTTAAAAAACAAATTAAAATCAAGACATGAGTAAGAGGAAATGAGCACGACCGAATGCGCCTCCCAGCCTATGCAAACAAGTACATTTTCAATTTGGCCTTTTCATCTAAATGATTTAAATTTAAATTTTTACGAAATCTTAAGATAAACTCTCCTTTCTCCAGGTACGTGATCCAGGGTGACAGTTCAGCAGCTAGCCGGGCACGCTATGCCAAGAAAAATTGAAAAGAAATTAATAAGACAGATTTTAATTCAAACCGAAATTTGTGTAATAAAAAAAATTTATGTGAATTCCCGTGGGATAGTATCCGAAATAATGCACGTTTGTTCCCTCGAGGCTATGATATTACCCCATTGTCGTCTTTGGACATAAATGGATTAAAAACCAAAAGTTCCTATTAAAAAGGATAAATTCAATCCTTACGAATAAAATCAACTTTTAATCCCCATCGCAGATTAAAGCCATTCATGCATAATACGTATAGTGTTTTCTATATATAGAGTAAAAGCTACTCGTTGCCATCATTTTATTCAGTTCCAACACTACTGGACCCAATGTCTGGCACCAAGGCTTTAATTAGAGCTTACCATTTGCATATTTGCCACAGGCAACACGCGCATTGACCACACCATCTGCACAAACTAGAATCGCTCAGCCGTCATCACAATAGGTTGAGCTTCCACATGCTTTCTAACAAGATATGGACCCATTTCAATAGCTTCCTGCAGCTGCACGCAAGAATTCACATCACTTGGAACATATCAGAAATGGTGAAATCCCTGGTTCTTGTTGATATCGAATTCTGACTCAACCTTCCATAACTCAGTTAATATTAATACCTTTTCTTTAAAAGGTTATAAAAAAAATGCTTTTGAGCAATTGATATCTTCACTTGAGTTGGTTTGGTTAGATCAAGACTGATGATCATCCTTTGGTGTACGTGCATTACAGAATTGTTATATTAAAATAAGAAAAAACAACACAAACTTTCAGCACATTCATTGGCTGGAGCCTGGAATATGAAGCACATCCATGAACCCATATGAGGCCAAATCCAAGTTGAACCAGCCGCAAAACATGCGCAGATAGTAGTAAGAAGTTTTGTTTTCTAACCTTTGCATCTATTGCTGCTAGAGCAGGATCAACAGAGAGTTTACTTGACTGCATCAGTGACTTGTGTATAGCCTTGCAGCAGTTATATCTAGCTTCCATGCCTGAAATTCTCACATTGTGTTGACAGAGTGAGTGAAAAAATGTAGTAGGAAGAAGCAGATCAGAATCATATACAAACTGCAACGATGTAAATGGGGGAAACCTGATGCCAAGACAAGGAAGAAATATACCAGGTAAACACCAATTTAAAGACTTAGCCAGCATCATTGATCAATTTACTATAATATCAGCACTCAATGGTTTTTGTTTGATTCTTCTCCTTTTATGCATGATCCATTAATTTTGAGATGATCAATTGGGAGCAAAAAGAATTAAGGAAAATTACACCTAATTACTAAAAAATCTCATGAAATGCACAAAATACTCTTAACAAACTCAAATCCCATGCATTTATAACTTGCAAAAGAAAACGATAACCTACAATAACAAGCTGTAAATGTACAAGAATTGAAACTTATGAGTATTTGTGCATTTTATAGGACCTCTTTAAATCTCTTCTGTGAGACCTAGGTGTAATTTTCTCAAATAATTATCCCATATGTAGAAATGGTGTCTCCAACAATCTATCTGGTTCAGCAAACATAAAAGAATTGTCCGCTTAAAGTTCTATCAGAAATTATCATTTAAATGTTCACTTTTCAAGAGTCAAGAATAATGATAATCAACCCCTCAATCACATGGTATGGTATTAAAAAAAATGATAATTCAGTAAAGCATAACCATCACAAGAGGCATCTTAGTTGTATTGCCAAAGGCAGGCTTGCCATGAGAAACCACTAGTTATGTCAAAGATCAATTTAGCTCAAAAGCTTAAGATGTAAGTGGAGTTCATTAAGGTCTTGGAATAATTCATACAACAGTCACAAAAAGGCCTAATAGGCTTGAATGATGAACAAAATCCAAAACCACCACACAGATGAAATTTTAATCTTCATAATTAAGAGTATGAAAATTATTTTGATTGGTTATAAAGACTCTAATACTAGGCCTGAACAGAGGCCCAAAAACTCACCCAAGTCAATTAGCTCCACTCAAAAAGGACCCCCCAGGGAAAAAAAAGCCATTCAGAAATCAGAATATTAAATGGGTTAGGCCAAGCATGGACATAATTTTTAATCCGTCTTGAGTAAATTTTTCTTCAGTCACTTCACTGTAATATTTTAAAGTTCTATTTAGATCTTTCTAGTTTCCTTCTACTTTATCCTTTTCTTCCCAAATAGAACTAATAAGTCAATTATTAAAATAACTTGAAGGAAGAACGTGATATTCAGAGTTGTCAATTGTCATCATTACCATGAAACTAGAAATGAGAGGTTCAATGTACTATTATTGCTAAAGTTGGCTCTCATAAAATCCTCTTTTTAAATGCAGAATACATAGGTAGAATTACATTTATTTTGAATTAACAGATAGGAATATATGTTAAGAGGATAAAAGAAATTGCAATTATTCAAACTGGAAGCAGACCTATTTTTGTGGTTTCACTACTTGGGTCAGTCACCATGTTTATTATCTCTTGTTTTGAGCAGATCTCCATCAAGCACCATGATCGAGCAACTAATCCACTTATCATCCTATAACCCTGATAAAAAGGTACAAAAATGCCAAATCAGACTTCTATGAAATTTAAAAACAAGGGCATGCATAGTTTATAGAGCTAAGTAGCAAGTTTCATGTTGGTGCCAATGATTTTTCTCACTAGGAAATTATGGAATTTGTGACAGAACGTCTAACCTAAATGCTTCATTGTTGAACGTTGAGTTCCTGCTTCTCTAGATGCCTAACATTTCATTCTATAAAATTCTATTAACAGATCCACTTCTAAAGTATAGCAGGAATTGGCTTCTGAGTTTGGTTAGAAGCAGCAATCAAACTTCAAAATGGTCATTCCCCATATTCCAATGAAATAACGAAATTCTTGGGGGGCAAAGGATGTTGATATTCAATGTTAAAATTTGAAATTCACAGACCAAATTCTATGGATTCTTTTTAAACCCCCCCCCCAAGTTCTATTTCGGCAAGAGAAAAGTCATTATTGTCATGCCAACTGAAAACTTGACTACTTTTTTCCCAGTGTAATTTGCAATGCAAAAGTTCCCATGAATGTCTCACCGCCAATCGGATTTCTGAGTCCTGCCGCAGAACTGATAAGAAAAGACCCTACAAAAAACACAAACAACTTGGTAAATCTCACTTACCTGAACAATTGAGACAAAAACATGTGACAGGCAAACAAGCCAGCTGAATGAATCTTATACCTCTTTATTATTCTAAATCATGATATTATGGAAAGGAAGAAAGTACATCTTGGATTGATAATGCATTGTTTTATTTTATTTACTTAGAAACGAATGTGGCATAACACAAACGCAGATGAGTATAATATTTTTTCTGTTAATATTCAAATGACAGGGACTTATAAAGAAGGTAAGATCATGATTCAGTTGGGTAACATTTACTGCACCAACCAGAAGCACTTGAAAGTTTGAAACTAAAAGGGTATGAGAAAAGATACCGATGGTGTCAACTTTGAGTTCCTGGATCCAACTTCATAAATTAAACGTCGCACATTTTCTTCTGCTTCAGAATTGAGTATTTTATCATTTTCAGATCGAGTTTCTCCAGAGATGTTTCCCAGAGCATGCAAAGCAGCCTGCAATTACCAATTACACCGGGGCTAATAAAAAACTCACAAGCATATAAAGCTAGGTTTGTCTATTATCATTAGGACGTGTTTCATTATCTTTTGAATATCAAGATTGTAATTAGAAGGCTTACATCATCTTTAATTAAAATAATGATAAAAATACTAATATGGGTTGGATCTAGCTAAAAGGACTAGTCCCTCACAATAGAGCAAATTAAAGTTTGAATCCATGCTAGGAAAGGTGTTGGATCATGTATTTTGATGATTACAAAACCAAGAGAAGAGGTATTTGTTACATGTGCAGATATAAAGAATCACAGATGAAGATAAAACCTCAAGTACATGAAGAATCAAGAGAAGATGAAGAACTATAGTATAAGTCATTGAAATTCTCTTAGATTTAATGTGAAAACTTTGAGAACTTAATCATATTTCATCATTAAATGAATGCATCATATTTTTCTCAATAAGTCTCTTTTATATACATTAAGACTCATCTAAGTTCTTTTAAGCTTGCAAGAAGTGTCATTCTAGCTTGTTATGATTTATAAAAGTAAAATCAAGAGATGCAATATTAGTAATAAACCTTCCATATTAATATGGAAATTCCAACTTTATCAGTTATCTTAAAAAATTCTACTTCTTCCAAGTAATAACTAATGCTTTTTCTTTTTAAACGTTCCTTCCTTCTAGAAGTTAGATATAAAGAAATAGATCCCTAGAGGAATCCAGTCATGACTCCTTACAAACTGGAGACCAACGTTTTAATATCAATATAATGGGTGCTCAAGTGAAATGGGAAACCTTACCCCAAAAGCTACCTATTGAGGTGGGTGAATCAACCACTTATATACCTCATTGAGCATCCTGTACTATTCAATGTGGGAATTGATATCCTATACTACTAAGTCTCTATGACAATATGACATGATTACAAAGAATCTGCTAGGAGCAAATTTAGTTCGGTTCTTTTCAATTCATATCTGAAATTGATATGTCAATCAGAGATATAAGACATTAAACGTGTGGAAACTATTTGGATGTGAAAACCACTGAATAATGGAATCCACCCAATCCAAAAATGACCGTGTTAATTCTGAAGAAAAATTGACAGGATCAATATTCCAGCAAATTATGATAATGCACTATAAACTTAGATATATATTCCATATTTGCTGAAAAATACAAAACAAAAGGGACACAACAAGCTTGTTCACTAACCAGCTGTTTACCATGCCCTTGTGGTCCTTGTTGATCAAAAGCAGCATAAATAACATGTCTTGCAACAGGTGATGTGCCTGAGAGCAGCAATGCAGCTCCAGGGATAGCTACAATCACCAAAAAATCTAACATAAATCTACAGCACTTGAACAAGAGGCTTTCAGGAAAACAAAAGGCTCAATGAAGCAGTTAAGTCAAGCAATTTTCAACTTTAAAAGAAATCTCAGAAAATCTTCAAGAAGGGATAAGTTTCTTTAGATGCATGAATCACCTCATCTGAAAGTGCAATCTCTTCTTTCTGAAGTAGTTTGGAATATTTAGATGCTCTATCATTTCCAGAAGCACTGGGTTTGAAGCATTCCCATACCATTATTCATTCTTGGAGTTTTAAGCAAAGGAAAATTACAAGTTCTTTTTCCCCCCTTTCGGAGAGTCAATGCTTGCAATGTTCTGGAAGAGAGAATTTTTAGCTTGCGTATAGCGTAGTGCATTTGGTTTGAATGTAATGCCAGCTTTTTGAAGACAAGCTTTTATCCACACAACTTAGTCAAATAGGAATGCCTTGGCAAGCCTCTGCCGACTGTAATTTGGCAAAACTCAAGATATGTATGCATTTTATTAGAAATAATATGCAATTTGGAATTCTAGAAAGTGTGGGAGGTAGTCAATTTCCAAGGTTGACTAGAATAACGGATAAACCAAAACTATTCTTAACACATCAAAGAAGTGCAATTCTGTACTGAACAACAGATAATGGCATACTTACACAGTCCTATATGACCCAATGCTTCAAGCGCAGTTTCACATTCATCCCTATCAGAACTTTCTAAGGACTTGAGTCTTCCATCAATTGAAGAAATAACAGTTTTAAGACCTGTAATTGATAGCACAAAAAGCATTTATTGGTGAACAGTTTCTAGTTCTTAATTAATTAATTAGTAAACTGCATTGAAATAAAATAGATATCATATTCAAAATAGAATAAAGAAATTGTCAGTTGAAGATAAGGGAAGCAGATGGCTATATATCTTTCAACCCATAATGGAAGCAACGGTAACTCCAGGAATAAAAGCGAGTCTTACATGATTCATCTATGAAGGTGTATATAATTTCCTTGGACAGAAGCCTTCCGATTATCATCATTGCTCTAGATTTTAAAATGGCCTCCACAGAATTGTTGCTAACATCAAGAGAGAAAAAAATCAATAAATCATAGAATCATCACTTATTTCGTCCAGTGGATGTACAGAAACCATCAGGGAGGAAATATTTGAGTACCTAATTATAGAACTAAGAAGTTGAAGGAGGTTAGTCTTTGAGAAGAATTCAGTACTATGCTCGATCTCTGCTAACTTCATTTCAACACAAAATGAGAGCATATTAAATGCACATGAAAAAATAAACTTAGTGAGGAAAAAAAGCAAAAGCTAACTGAGTGATGAAAAAACGCTAAAGTTCACTGCCAATATAAAGTTCCTGGCGCCACATATATAATGAGTGTCTGACATAGTGTTTGTTTTCTAATCTTAAAAAAATAACGTTTTGCAAGAACTGATTTTGAAAGAATTCATTGCATAATTAGTTATGTCTGGGAACCAAACATAATCAGTTATGCATAACTTATTCTTCTATATATTCACAGACAACATTCCACGAACCTAACCAATAAAAGTTTGTAACAGTTAAATTGAGCAGGAGTGTTGTAGTTGAAGGCTCAATGAAGAGTATTAGCAGAATAGATTATTAAAAGAAAGAGGGACGAGAAAAGATATTAAGACATATATAAGAGGGAAGTTGGATAGACAAATTTTTAGCATATCTCCAGGCATCAGATATGAGACTGAAACTGAAACCACTCTAAATAAAAGAGGGTTAACAGGTATTTTTGCCCTTAAGCTATTTGTTCAGGAATATCTGGTATCCTAAACTTCCACCATTAAAAAGGAAGCATTGACCATTAGTTGACCAAGAGAATTACAAGAAAGGACCTAAAAATCATAGAAAAGAAAGTATAAAATTACAAATAAGAAAATTAATATCCAATTAAGTTCCTAAAATATTGTGATAATTTATAAGTCTTTCTACAAATTGTTACTTATAAATAAATGCATTTTCTACACTAGTTATAAATTTTTGAACGAGGATTTATAAATTTTGAAGGAAGACTTATAAATTATCACATTATTTTAGGAACTTAATTGGTATTAATTTTTATAGGATACTTATGCTTTTTCTTTGGGTCTTTTCTATAATTTTTGAAATCATTTTCTGTAATTTATAAGTTAACTAACAGTCAAAATTAACTTTTTTAACAAGAAGATGCCCAATGCACCATTTTAAACGTTGAAGGGGGAAACATGCAAGTTTAGCATATTAGACACTCCTAAACAAATAGTTGGGAAGCAAAAATGCTCTTTAACCCAGTACAGGAAAACTCAAAAAGACTTATCACAGTAGCCATCAAACCACAAACCTTAAACTTTACATTTATTCACAAAAGTAACAAAACAATTTGCTTATTATTATATCTGCTTCTCGAAAAATAGGATATCCTAACTAAAAAAGAATCAATCATCAATCAATATATATAAAATACATAGGAAGCCAGCTTATGAGAATGTGGTCCACGTTAGATTCCACATAATACAAGGGTCCCAAAGCTAGTCTGAAATAAAAAAGGAATAACCACCTAATAGTTTAAAAACATTACATTTAAGTTAAAACCTCCATTGAAATGTTTCCAAAAAATTGCATGTAAAATCAAATCAACTATCTTTACGCAAATTAAATTTTTTTATCAAATAATGTCGTAGTTTTATGTATTTTAAGTGTAAGATACCAATTTTTTTTTATCATCTAGTATGATGTATTTAAGTGTGTCTTTGCGCGCACGCACACAGAGAGAGAGAGAGAGAGAGCAACCTCGTATAGAAGCTCCAAAACACTTAAAGTTACAAGAGTATCATCTGCATTTGCGATTTCTGCCTCCAAAAAATTAAGAAGATTTAAACTGTATATGGTTGATGCTGCAGACTTAGATACAGAGAAAAGTTTCACCACTAAGGCCATTACACGAACCCGTCCCTGAATCAAAATGGTAACCATGAGCAACTAATGTTCACACCACACACGGGGAAAAAAATTAAAAAAAGAAATCAAAGAATTTAGCATCAGCTTCTACATTCTCTAACCAAGAAATTTAACATTTTTTTGGCACATATCACAATGGAATTTAGGACTGTAAATATTATAACTGAACTACCGGATTATACCTGAAATGCTCCCATCAAAAGCTTTCATAATAGTATGGTTATTGTGAAGGAAAAAAGTCATTTCCTATGCATTGCTTATTTAAGCCAAGCTCTCGATGCAAGAAATATTAGCTATAACCGAGACATGTTTGATAATTAGACAATCAATTGTCCATTTACTTGGATAATTAGTCAACATACTAAAATGAGTTTAGAACTTCTGCTAAACACTATCCATGATTTTTTTTCTTTTCATTCAGAAAATCCACCAACAGAGATCATTTTTTATTTTAAAAAATGCATGAAATTATATGACTGCCAAAGAAAGAAGTGGGGAGGATGCAATCAAGATTCAAGATAGACCTTCTGGGCAAAGTATCTCATGATAAATATTAAATTTAAAAATTTTATGCACTTCTTCAAAAATTAATCCAATTTCCAAAACAAGAGATCAAGCAATTTTCCCACTGAAGTGACTTGGTTAAGAACTCTTTTGTAACTGGTTGGCCTATAATTGCAGTAACATGATTGTATTTAACATCAATGTAAACAATGCTTCCAAAAATAATGATATCTTCCACGTATTCTGTCAGAGCTTCCATGACTTCAAGGTGTCCCTAGATAAATATAATCTATATTTGAAATTCTACAATGACAAACATAATTCATGCATTGACGGATCTGCTATCATACCAGTGATGAACACTGCGATGCTAAAGTCCTCAGGTCTGCAGCACCTTCCCTGGCAGATGGAAAGATGATTTCCTACGCAAGTATTGTCAACCATGATAAGTACGGTAAGGTTTTTGCATACTCCTGTTTTTCAAACGAGGATTTAAATCACAGTGAAGTAATGCATTTTCTTACCCTGCCCTCAGGAGAATGAGCTAACTTCTTTATCACATCCATTGCTGCAGCTGCCACTTGTTCATTGCTGCTTGTGTGAAAATATATGCACATAATATATTTATTGTATGCAAGGTTTTAATAATACATTATTCCACATTATGTAAAGACAAGCACATCTATCTATCAAGAAAATGCCTTAGATGAGCGCAAAAATAACGCCCATGGGTAGAAATTTCAACAGTTTATTTTGGCATACAAAACAACAGAGGTCCTTGTGCTTATTGTATGAATATTGAAGGCAATTAAGACATGCTGCTTTCAAATTACTTCATTTAAAGTACAATGAGACACAAAGTAAAATTTTCAGACTGAACATTATGGGAAGAACTTGATCGCTGAATTTATACATCTTAGCATGTACTGCCAGTACAAAACACAATTAACTGGCCAAAAAAACAAGGATACTTGATTATGAGTAAATGGTCTCCTTTCGTCAGAATTATTGGGCTAATTAAAATGTCTCAAAGATACTACTTGGTCAATTATTTAGATCTTTTGGGGAATGAAAGATGAGAGTGAATTTAGATTAATTTTATATTTCATTTGTAGGTGTATTTTAGTTATTTTTCCACATGTTTGGGTCTTGGATTGCAAGAGGTTTGAATTCAGGTTATTTAGGTGTTGATGGATCTTTTTTTATTGCTTTCACTCTAATAACCAAGTTCTTGATCCAGCCTAATCTAGGTGACAACGTGTAGGCACCTCTTTGGGATGCATAACTCCCACCAAAAATTTAATCACTGCTGCATACCCAAAGCTCAAACTCAAGACTTTGGTTTCAATTTAGGTTATTTAGGTGTTGGTGGATATTTTTTTATTGCTTTCACTCCTGTAACCAAGTTCTTGACCCAAACCAATCCAAGTGACAACTTGTAGGCACCTCTTTGGGGGTGTATACCTCCTACCGAGAATTTAATCTCTGCTCCATATCCAGAGCTCAAACTCGAAACCTCTGTTTAAGTTGGACCAACCCCTTAATGAATTGATGGATCTTATTTTAATGAGGAACTTATCCTCATGATTTAGCATAAATGGGTTGTCTAAATCATATTTCCTTCGTAGGTAAGTTATAGAAGGCCTGTTTAAATAAAAAAAACTGCTTTCTATTTTAGATTAAATTATCAAATTTATGAATCACAAAATTTGTCAGCAAATTGCTCTCTTCTTGGTTGTGCAAAATCCAATCAAACTCTAGATGTTATGCAAAGCTTTTTCTTCTTTAATTTTCTCTAATTATCAAACTAATTTTCCCATAGATTATAGATGTCAGTTATATCATATCCCAAGCCTTCCGCAGTCATTAATAAGGCCAAAAGCAGTTTTCCTTCTTACCCATTCACAAGGCAATCAAGCAAGAGAGGATATATGTTGTATTCTGCAATTAGACGAGCAGCAACATCAGTATCACAGTCAAGTTCCTCCAGAAGGCAAGTGACCTACAAGTTTTTATGTGAGAGAACGCAACAAGATGTTCCAGTTGGATTAGAAGTACTTTTGTATGGAAAAAAATTAAAAAAAATATATAAAGCATCAAACGAATTGAATACCACTTGAGCTGCAAATAATAAAAGTTAATGTTAGGTAAAAAAGAACAGCTAGTCAACCGCATAACTGTCCTCTTCAATTAGGAGAAGCATCACGTAGTATCAAGGAAAGAAATGAGTAGAGCTGCAGGGATACAAACTAACAAAGAAAACCAAGAGAGGGTAACTTAAAGAACAGCAGAGCAAGTTGTGAAAAAGTCATGAAAGCAAAATATGTATGAACTTCAACTGTAACAAACACACTAGGTTGAAATTTTTTATAGGGAACGCTAAAGATCAGATAATCAGAGTTGCTCATATAAATGATTGCAAATTGAGTGGAAATTAATAAGAGAACAGGGGACAGATTATTTTGACAACTTGCTTAATGAAAGAAATTGAAAAACCTTACGGGAGCAGAACAACCACAGAATCAGCTTTACTTTTATCTGGTAAAAAGAAAAGTCTTTGGAACAGTTCAGAGGTGATATTGAATTAGATCCACATGCCCTGATGTGCATGCACATGAATACATAGAGTTGCATAATTTAGTTCCAGTTTTACTAGTTGGTAAGTTGAAAAAGGGGATTGCCAAAAATCAAAAGCCAGTTGTTACAAATTTTCCATCACTAGAGCAATCCCGTAGGAAAGGTCTAAGTTTCATTGGGAAAGCCAAACCACAGGTTACTAGCAGCAAAAATAGAGAAGGTAGCAGGAGAGACCTATATTTATTGACGTTAATCAATGCTCGAAATGATAATGATAAGCTAAATTTATATCATAAGCTGATCTTGAAGTCACACGAAAGTCAAAGGTTGCAGTGGAAATACTATGGCAGCAAAAGCATAATCTAAAGACAACAACATGAGCTAGCAGACAGGAAAATAAATGTTGTCAGTGGGGCGTCCGCCCTCTTCAAGTACAAAGGAAATAATATAATATCTCTGCAGAAACGTAAAAACACATAAAATCAAAACTTTTTTATTCTTGATTGATGTAGTTAACAAATAAACATGTAAAGACCAAGCAATGTAAGTGATCATTAAAAACAAAATACTGCTTCTAGAGAAGGGAAGGAAGTTGGGGGGTGGTTAATCTACAGCATGGTAGGCATGAGAGAAGCCATTAAATAAAGACAAATAGAATAAGTATATACACATACTGTTTTACAAGCTAAGGATCTGACTGCCTGAGAATCTGCCTGCAAACCAACTTGTACAAAAGGCTGCCCCAAAAAAAAAAAAAAAAAAATTTACCAAAACAATAAGGATAACATGACCAAATGAGTGGTACAAATTAATTGAATCACTAACAAGCCAGGTTAAATTTTAAGCATGCAGGGTGATTTGCTTCAAAAGATAAGCCTAACTATTACTGCAATTTCTTCTCCATAAATAACTACAATCTACACATAAATCTATAGGAACCTGCATTATTTATACACAGCACACGGGCCCACAACAAAAACATCAGCTACTCACTGGTCCTGAAAGTTGTGAAGATAGGATTTTAGTACTTTTCTTGCCAGTTCATGATAAAGCTGTGTCTTGAGTAAACATTCGCTCTTTTAATAAATTTTCTTGCCCTTAAAGAACAAGACGCTTTCAAAATGTACGAATTCCTACCCTAAAACCAAACTCAGGGTCATTTAATTCATGCCAGATCTTTACATATCAACTTTGCCGGTCGTGTATATGTTACCAACAACATGAAGTATATATAAAATACAAAACAAATACGTTTTGAACATAAAGAGTTTATTTCCATCTTTTGTTAAAAAAATTAATTAAAGTTGAAAACAAAAGCCATGTGTAGAGTGAAGTGTTATAAAATATAAGGGTCAACAAGACTTGGATAAACCACAGTCCCTAGGCAGCAAACTGTTGTATTTTCAGAATCATTCTCATCTTCCATAGAGTTCATAAGTGACTTAATTGTTTGTGATTCAAAGATCGGAACCTGCAATTCAGAAAGGTTTTTCTCAAGCATAGTAAACGGATAAAAAAACAACTAAGTCAACTGTAACTTAAGTAGTTCATCTTAGACCACATGCAGAATATTGCTTGTGACAACTACTAGGTTTTTGCATTCACTGAATCGAGTGTGCCATGTTCAAATAGTAATTCAAATAACAATTAAACAAATTAATTGGCAAATGTAGAAAGTCACAAACCATATACTGTGGAATCAAAGAAGCGCCAAATTTTGTTTTGAATAGCCTCTCCAAACAAGCAGTTAGAGTATTTTCTAGGCCAGGTACATCCAATTTGGTTTGTAATGCACTGTAAAAGGAAAACAATGAAATCAGATGCAATTTTCTTCACAGAAATGAATTTGGAAATTGGAAGGAGGGGGAGCTTTGAAAGATGGGATGAAAACAAATGCAACACTAAATCGCAAAGAATTGATCATACGAAGATTATACATGAAAAATAGTTCTCCCGTCACAAATGAGCAAGACAAGTAATTATTGACAGTTAAGTTAAAAATTGATAAGTTCGCTTGAGAATTTGAGCAGAATTTCCATGCCTATATACTGAGAATGCACGATGTTATACAGTCAGTTCCATTAAAAAAAATACAAAAATTAGAGTTCCAAAAGCTTTCCTGTTCAACCAGGAAGCAAGCAAAATGCGACTGATTCTAAGCCAAACGAATTGCTATCACAAAATCAAAAGTTCCTGAGAAAATCAACTGAACTAAATCGAGTCATTTTGTAGATTATCATTAGGCAAAAATTAGTTTCAAGCCTCGAAAATCAACCTCGTCCTGATGTCCTCCAACTCGACTGAAAATTTAAAAGACGAAAAAAAAAAAGTTTCGACAGAAAAAATACAGAGCAAAGGTGAAGCAGAAACTGACTTAATTATTGCTGGAAGAGGGAAGCGATTGAGAAAGTCCCTTACGGCGGCGTCGTTAAGTACTCCTGAAATCAAATCAAGATGATGGTTCAGGAATATTTTGGTTGGAAAGAAAGAAGCACAGAGCAGTGAAGAGCGAGTACCCGGATAATTAGCAAAATCTGAAGCTGTTTCAAGTAGCTGAGTTGGATCCTCCATTGAAAACTCTTCGTGCATTTTGCTTTGCTATGTCTCGCCCGCTCTCTCGACTCGGGAGCAGACGTGACTGAAAGGAATGATGAAGACGCCGAAACGCACCGGCGTGCGTGGCAATAGGTATGCTACGTGTCACGCCGGAGATAATAGGCTCCTGGGATTTGCGCTTGGTGCTCATACCCACGCTTATCAAGGTTAAAAGCACCCTCTATTTCAATATAAATTCATCTTATTCTTATCATTCATTTAAATTAATTTTTAAATATTTTTAATATTATATTTATTAATATAAAAATTTTAATATTTTAATAAATTTATTTATTATCAATCTAATTAGCATAAATTTAATTTAATATTAAAAAGTTTTATAATTTTATAATTTAACTATCCAAATAAACTCTTAATGGTTTAGATATAATTTAAATAATATAATATAATATTAAAAAAATTATAATTTTATAAATTAACTATTTGCATGTACTATAAATAATCTAAATTTAAAATTAAATTTTTTATATTTTTATTTTAATAAATAAAATATTAAAAATATTTAGTTGATTAAAACAAAACAAGAGAAATTTTTGAAATTTTAATTTTTTAAATTTCATTTACTTTTTTTAATTATATTCATGGATAATTAAGCAAATCTCTAACTAAAAATTAAAAAATATTTGAGACGCTAAACTTATAATTAATTTTTAAAAATTATACAATTTAACTTTTATTATTAATAAAATTTAATTTTAATAGTTAATTGATAAAAGAATGGCAAAATTTTTTTTTAAAATTATATAAGAATTACAGTGGATGATTCAAAGATTATAGAAAATTAACAAGAAAGTTTATTGTTCTTTTTGTCAGAAATTTTGAATTTATTTTCAATCTTTTTTTATCAATTAACTATTAAAATTAGTTTTTATTAACAAGATAAATTAAATTAAATTATTTTTAAAAGTTCAAGAGACATTATTATCATTTGCGTCACCTCGTGATTCCACTCCAATCCTAACACTTATTAGTTAAAATCAACTAAAAATACTAAAGCGCCCTTATAATTCCACTCCAATCCTAATTCCCCGTCTATGTCACCTTCGCTTGTAGGATTGCACAAAAAATTGGATAGTATTGAATTTTGGCCTAACTCAAAATTTAATTTTTTTTATAAAAATAACTGAATTAGGTAACCCGTAGTTCAATCTTGTTTAGTGATAACTCAAAAATTAATAGGATCAGACTTGATTCATAAGACTAGGAGACTGATTCTATTAATTCAGTACTCATTTAGCTTTTTTTTTTTTACTTTTTCTTTCATGAGAGACAATAATTTATTTTAACTTGATAAATTTAATTAAAATAATAAGATCACTTATAGCCATAATAAATCCAAAATAATTTTTAACAAGAAAAAAATATTTCAATTACAATATAAATAATTTAAATTTATAACTTAAAAAAACAACACTTGATAAACTTCAACAACACTGCACTACAATAATAATTTAGAAACAAATTCAATAAATTTTCATGCAATTATCTATTTAGCATAAATTACATTTGAAACATTTATTAAAAATAAATGAATTATAATTATATTAAATAAATTAATAGGATTGGATTAAATTAAGTGATCTAAATGTCCAATTTTTTGTTTAATCCAACTCGAAGAAATAATTTGATCTTTTTAATTCTGAAAGATCAATGTTCATAAAGACCAATCAAGACAAGATTATCTTAAATTAAACTAGATTAGACAAAATCAAAAGATTTTTATACAGTCCTATTTAGTAGGAGGATAAGCCATCTGTCCCAGCGGCATTGCTGTTAGGAGTCGAGCACGGGAAAACCAATTTCTGGTGAACTAACCTTGCGATTTCTTGGGCCTAACATCAGAGATGAGAATGCATGATTTTTTATGTAGATATTTAAATGGATCAGATTTCAATATTGACGGGCCTATAGGTAAGAGTAATCATTACAAAACCATTTTTTTATTCACCCAAATTTAAATTCAAAATTTCATATTTAAATGATTAGAGTATAATCTATTGTTAATTAAGACCAATGCTTATTGGTACACTCATCATTTTTAATAGGTAGATAATCCAAGACTTTAGTTAGCTGCAAGCAATTCAGGGCCTGTTTTTTTTTTTCTTCCTGTTTTTAGAAGCTGCTTTTTATTTTTAAAAACATAAAAATTTAAAAATTTGTTTGGACAAGTGTTTATCATTTAATTATTTTTAAAACTATTTTCATTTTTTATTTCAAAAAACAAAAAATAGATACAATTTTAAGTTGCTTTCGTTTTATTTTTTATTTTTAAAATACACTACATTTAATTATTTAAAATTATAATTATCTTGATCAATTTTTATTATTAATTATAACTTTTGAGTAGTTATAATCATCACTATCAATTCATTTTTTAAATTTTAAATTATTTTTAAATTGATATAACCAAGCAATTTCTTTTTGTTTTAAAATTAATTTTGAAAACAGCTGCCTTAAGTGACTAAACAATCTCTTAACCAACTCGTTATCTTACTGGTATGCTTTATTTAATGAAAAACTTCATCAACGTCATTGAAGTACATGAGTACATCAAATTAGATAATGCTTTAATATTTTGAGTTTACTTTTACAGAATCTTAGCATTCTCTTAAAGGCACTAAATCAATGTGAGAGTTTATCCAAAACAACTTTGTCTCACTTAACGCAAAAATTGATCCGAGTAGTAAATATTATCAAACCTTGTCACATGACGGCAAGGAAAATAATTATACCGAGGCTATTTTTACACAAGCATCTAGCTTGGAAAAAAAAAATCACAAGAATGAATATATATATACATATATATATAGTAATAGTGCCCAGCATATATTTGTCAGCACAGTGATTTATCTTTTCCATTATTGTACGTTCTTCTTAATGAAAAGCTTTATCTTTTTTCCATAAAAGATGCCTCTCCATCATTCTCACGAGAAACTGAATATATAATTAATTTTGTCAACAACTTCCTGAAGTTTTTGCAGCCCACATCACCATATCTGCAAAATAAAGCTCATCAAACAATGAAGAAAAAAGACTAGCAAATGATAAAGACCTTCCAAAGAGGAGAGAATAGAAAGTCTCTTGTCTCCATTCTTCTGCCGAAAAGATGCTCAATTATACGTGTGACTTTAAGTTTCATTACCAGATGTGCTATATATCTTGCCTCATTACTTTTCATGTCATGCTATGTATCTTAGAAGTTAGCCGTCCATATTTATTCTATACAACAGCTTCTATATATCCATAATTATTAATGACATTATCTATATTCCACCCAATAAGAAAGGCAAAAAAATTTGCTCAAAAAAAAAAGAAAGGCAAAAAAAAAGGAAAAGTGAGAAATTCTTAAGTAGATCGGATGCATCACGTCATTCGTGATTTATTTAATAAAAATATGACATCTAAATAGTATTAAATATAAATTAATTTTAATATTAATGATAGTAGAAAAAATGCAAAAAATTAAATTTGTATTTTGTTATAAAAATAAAATAAATTAAAAAGATGTTGCGCAAGATTTTATTTAAATTATGTAAAATATTTTAATTAGACAAACTATAAATAACTTGACACACCCAATCTATCTAAGTATTTTTTCTAAGAAGTTTTGGGCAAGACCAGTGACTCTTAACAACCAAATAGACCTTCCTTGTTCAGAAATCTCACTATTAAAGAAGTTTTATTTAGGTTGGTTTGATTTTGTTTTTAAAACTTTTTTTCATGTTTTTAATAACAGTCCCATATAGCAGGAGTTTGAATTAAGTTAAGTAAGAGTTAATAATGCCCTAGGTTTCTCGAGATACAGAGCCATGGAATAAAAAACTATTCTCATATTAAAAACCAACAAATGAAAGCGTCTTAGGGTTATTTTTATTTTTTTAATTTTTCAAAGGACTCTATATTTAATTATCAATAACTGCTACCAGTTATGGTTATTTATTATTACTATAATTAACTACCGTGAGCCACTAGCAACCACCATCATTTGTCAATTTTTTAACTCTAAGATTATTTTTAAACTAGTATAATTAAACAGATTTTCCTCTTATTTTATTTAGAAGAATAATTCTTAAAATTGTATCACAAAACGGCATCTAGAAGCAAAAATGCATTCAGTTGGGAAGTCAAATTAAGTAAAAATAATAATATTAAATATAAAACATAAAATGTATAATAAGTTGCCTCCAAGGACCATTTAATTTTTTTTTTATGAAGGTTTAGGTAAATTGAATTCCAAAGGCTCATCAAGGTAAAACATACCTATGGCTCATCAAGGTAAGGACCATTAATTTTATTAAAAAAATTGAATTGAATTATCAAAACTGATTAGGACGGTGCAAGTAGCCATAGGATGTACACCTCTTTCACACTATCCCTGAAATGTGAAGGACCTGCACCCAACTTCAATAATGTACCGTGTGTATATATTTACTTTATCACAGCTACTATAGCTGCATAATTATCACTGATCGTGATAATATTCACATCCCACCAGCCGAACAAAAAAGAACAGTCTTAGAGAAGACCTATGATCCATAACAGCTATATATATATATATATATATATATATATATTAAGATCCTATATATAGCCGACATTCACTGAAGGGTTAAAAAGAGAACCAACAAGGGTGAAATAGTACAGATAAATTAAAAGCAAAGTAAGAGAAGAAGCCAACAAAGAACAAAGAAAGGAGAGGAAAAAGCAAAGAACAGTGGAGAGGCAAAGCAAAGTACGAACAAGAACAAGACACAGACCCTCCCTCTAGTAGTGTGTTTAAAGGTGATGATTCGGTTTGTGTTTGTATAAATTCCAAAGGCAAGCTTTTGGCTTTTGGAAGGTAGCACCAGCATGTTATTCTTTGCCCCTTTTCATTTCAGACCCATCACAAGGAGAAGCCCAAGACGTTAGAAAGCATCATCGTTTGAGACCCTAAATAATAATTGGAAAAATACCATTCTATATATTCCTATACTTTAACCATGTTTTGTTTTCATCCCTTTTATTTACTCTATCTAAATTATTAGTACCCTATATTTTAAAAAATACCCAGAAGAAAGATGTGAGATGACCCAAATGGTGTTATTTTTTGTTGTGATGGACTTGACATTATTAAAA